ATCCTACTAAAAATAACACAGAAACTATAGGATTTCTACTTACTATAATAGAAATTCCATATAATATTATAAATAAAGATATAATATCTAAAGCTCCTGTTTTAAATCCACTAGTATACATTTCATCTATAATAAATAAATTTATCATTAAAACTTTAGATATAATTACCCTAAAAGGGAAGATTTTTAAGTAGTATATAACCAACGTTAGTTATATTTATAGTAATAATTACGGAAAGAAGGTGACTCGAACACCCAGGTACTAACATACAATAACAACCTTTCCTTTTTATTATGTTTAAATATACTTACTTTTTCTTATTAGAAAAATACAATAAAAATTTACGAATTAGACCGGTATCGAACCGATATCTATTTTCGTGATAAGAAAATCCTTTACTAATTAAGTTACTAATTTAATTATTATTATTATTACTATATTTTATATAATAATATATATTTTACCTCTTACGATTAGTCGGACTCGAACTAATAAATTCCGTGTGGAAGACGGCGATTTTACTATTAAATTATAATCGCTAATACATCTTTTCTTTATAATCTTTTTTTATATAAACCAATCTATTACTATAAATTCTATAATTATATATATTATTATAGAATAGGATCTAATAGATTCGAACCAATATTATAATAATTAAAAGTTATACGTATTAACCTTTATACTAAAGTCCCTAATAAAAAATTTATATATAATGTTTTATTATAACTAATTAGCAGATATCTACTTTAAATTTTTTTATTATGAATTATAAACCTTAATAGTAAACTGATATATACAAGAATAGTCAAACTATATCTACAAAATATCAATATAATATTCCAGATTCAAATCCTACGTGATAATTATCTATTAAATAGTATGCATAAATTCTTTATAAACCTACAGCCAAGAATATTATACCTATTATAACGTGGAATCCGTGGAAACCTGTCCTAAAGTAAAAACATATACTATATACACTATCACTTATAGTAAAAGATAATACACTATATTCTACTCCTTAGAATATTATAAAAATAACAGCTAATATAACTATAGTAATAGAACCGTATAAAGCTCCCCCTCTATCTTCTTTAATTAAGGCATAATGAGCATAAGTTACTGTTACACTACTAGATAATAATATAACTGTATTAAGTAAAGGTAATTCAAAAGGATTTATAGCTTCTATATCCATAAGTGGTTATTAGGCTCCTAATTTAACTATAGGTGATAAAGCGCTATAAAAGAAAGCTTAGAATATAGTAAGGAAAAATAAAGCTTTAGATACTATAAAAAGTATTATACCTAGATTAATTCCTTTTTATATAGCTAATATATAATTACCCAAAAATATACCTTTAGATATAATATCTCTAAATCATATAACAGAAGATAATATAACTGTTATAATTCCTATATAAAAGAAAACATAAGAGTTTTCGAAACTATATAGACTTAAAGTAGTATTAAAAGCTATAGTAAATAAACTTATACTAGTATATAAAGGTTAAGAAGAAGGAGAAACTAAATAGAAAGGATAATCTTAAAAATTACTTCTTATTAAGTTACTTATCGATATTTTTAATTTTATTATGACTAACGCACCTTAATTAAAATTATATAGTGTAAAGCCCTTAAGATAAATCGAATATCTATTATAATATTAATAGTATTATGCTTTACCGTTGAGCTATAAAGGCTAGGAGATAAGAGATTCGAACTCTTAAAGCATTATTTTGCTATTGAGTTTACAGCTTAACCCTTCTTACCGATAAAGGAACCCTCCTTTAGATTATACTTAAGAAAGTGTAATTTATTAATAAAAAGAAAGAGATTCAAACTCTTATATTTTCTGATACTTTATTAAAATATATAATACTATACTATAAGTATATTTTTTTGTATTATATATATAATTATATTTTACTTTTATTTATCCCGTGTAACTTCCACTACACGAACTATATTTCGACTTTACACTAATCAGAGCTACGTATACGAAGATTTCTATTATAATATTCTATGTTAATAACTAGAAGAGATTATAATAAAAAAGCAAACTTATTATATACACTCCTTTCAGTATATAACGAGTAGTTAGTACTAATCCGAGAGAATATTCACCGTGACATAGTGATTCACGATTACTAGTAATTACTTATTTATATAGTCGAGTTTCAGACTATAATCCTTATATATATTTATATCCTTTTTTTTAAGATTAGCTTAAATTTATATTTTTGCTTCTCTTTATTAAGGAATATATAGCACGTCTATAGCCCATAATATCAGGGCTATGATGACTTGTCTTTTTCCTCTTTATCAAATCTAATATAAAGGAAGAATGCTTTATTATAATATATTTAAAAATAAAGCAGAGGATTTCGTTAATTCATAGAATCTCTATAGTTTCATAACATTAACTGAAAACAGCCGTGCAACGCCTGTATTTTAAAAATAAAATATTTAAATTGTGGTAAGGTTTTTCGTGGATCATCGAATTTAATAATATACTTCACTACTGGTGTCAGAAACGGCCTAGTGATTTCAGTTCCTGCGTTGCCATATTACTCTTGAGGTGGAATGCTTTCATTTTTATTTATAGACTAAATAATATCTAACCTATAGCATTCAGTATTGTCTGCAAAGACTACTGGGGTACCGAATCCTGTTCGTGATCTATGCCTTCGTCCTTTAACGTCAGTTTTTATATAAGAGACTGCCTTCGCCTTTACCAGTCCTTTTAGTATCACAGAATATTATCTCTCCACTCTAAGTACTATCTCCTTATATAAAACTCTAGTCAAATATTACCTTTTTTAGGATATTTTAACCGTCTAGGTACCCTTTAAACCTATTTAAAATAAATAACACTAGTCTTATACGTATTACCGCGACTACTAGCACGTAATTGGTTAAGACCTTTATATATATATTGTCATTATCTATATATACTTAAAATTTTATTCGAATAATTAATTAAATTTTACTTACATTTATATTTTCAAACTTCTCATTTACTCAAGTTGCTAGTTCAGCCGTTAGGCCATTGACCAAGATTCCTCACTGCTGTACGTTACTTTGCATTAGGCTTTTTTCAGACCCAATGTGGTCGATCAACCTTTCAGTTACGACTACGAAAATTTTGAGCTAGTTAGGCCATCACCCTAACTACTACCTATTTCGAAAATATTTGTTTTCTTCTTAAAGCGGATTTAATAAATCCTTTCTTATATGAGGGATCTTAGCCCTCACTTTAAGGTTAGCCATAGCATTCTCATAGTATTCTCATAGCATTCTCTAGCATTCTCTAGCATTCTCTAGCATTCTCTAGCATTCTCATAGCATTCTCATTTCTCATAGCATTCCATAGTAGAGTCACAGTCTTACGAATAAAGGAGGAGAAATGAGTTGATATTTTCAGTAAAAGTGTCAACGCTTAAAGCCTCACATAAAACGGCAAGGCTCTTCTTGACTCACCTTTGCTCTGCATGCATAATATATTCCAGCACTAGGCGAGCCGCGAGACTGGTTAGGAAGAAGTGGCAACCCGGGCCAAAAGGTTGCGATCTTTCAACAACCTCCACCAGGCTTTCTCAATCTCTTCAAGCGACCGCCGATCGGATCTGGAGAGAGAGTCTTCAAAGTACGACAAGAACTCATCCTTAATCCCCACAAACAGAACGCTGAAGAAGACATCATCTCTCACCTCCCCGGAAAGATCGAGACTCTCGTTCTCGGCCAACTCACCCTCGACCCACAAGGTCACATCCCGGATGTAGTCATGAAACGAACGACCGGTGCGAAAGTCGTTGACCGTGTAACGCAGCTTCAACTCGGCGGGCTCGGGGAGGGAGACGCGCATGGCTTTGCCTCGCCTCGAAGCGTCCTGCAGGATGATCCGGCGGTCCTGGGCCAGTGATCTCAGGTTGGACAGGGCAGAGAGGAATTCCTCGGGGGTCAATACTCCGCGGGTGTACTCGTCGATTCGGAGAAAGAAGTCCGCTGTGGTTTTGATGCCTGCTCTGATGCCTGCCATGACAGGGAAATTGTCTATCTCGAGGGCATAGAAACTGTTGGCTTCTCTGAGGGCGGTTTTGGTTGCTGATATGGCCGCTTGGACACGAGGCGGTGTTCTGGACGACATTATGGGTTACCGTTTCTGTGATTTGAGTGGACAACTCTCCCGGTATTATAATAATACACTCAGTTTGCTCTGACTTGTCCTTGTAGTTGAAGTGATTTGGTCATTGGTGTGATGTGAATATACTCGCCACAGGTGGAATTCCTGCATCTGCTTTTATAAGACATGGTTGCTTTCAAGAAGATTCCACTGTTCATAATTAGATTAAGAATAGCGGCGATGTACGCCGTGTTGATCCTCTAGAAGCCTTTTAAAATCTTATAACTTGTAAGATGAAGAAAGGGTCTGGGTAAGGACAATGAGATGGATCCGTCATTACATGTATCATAAGAGAACAAATACAGATGCGCAAAACTGACCAACTATCCCAGCACGTCTTCCAGAATATAAATCCGTAAGAAAAAGATGAGTAATAAAGATAAATCCAATGCTTCTGTGTCGTGAAGTGGATTATGAATATATCATCGTGATCTGGTAAGCGGGCCAAAATTATCCCGTCTTTGTGAGGCCTGCATCCCCTGTTCTTACTGCTACAGTGCATTGTGGCTATGGAAGACCCCTGTTCATCCTGTCATTCGGCTCTGTTGCCCCGGGGTCCCTGGCGCCCTGTCGTCTTCATATACTGACAGTCTGACCACGTTTTTTGAGCCGATGGAAGTTCTCCTCATCTCATCTGTCTCCTCGCCTCTTCGACTTTTACTAGTCAAATGCCAGACTGATATGTTCTACTCTACTGCCTACCCTGTCTGAGCTCCCTTTTTCCCTTTTTTTCTTCTTTTGTTAGTCTTCTCTGCCCGCCAAAACTCAGGCAACGCTGTCCGTCATCAGGATAGATGCCGGGCAGTTCGCGCGTCGATGCCCCGTACGGGCCATACCATCAGCCTCACAACACACACCCTTCCCAGCTACAACAGAGTCAGAACACCACCACTCCATTGGCGCCAGCAGGGAGTCCAAAGGGAAAGAAGGCCAAAGAAACAAATCCCGTTCTAATTCTCTACGACCGAGCTTTCAACATGGGTGCTGGTCGCTGGCTGTCGGGTGCCTTCGTTCTGGGGTTCTCGGCGGGCATTATATCGAAGAAGCCGACAGGTATGCTGTTGGCCGTATCAACCTACAACCTAGCATGCGTAAGTACATAGCGATGAAGTCCCACTGTCTGGATGAATCCAGCGGTCCTTTGCCCCCTTTGCGGAGTGAGCGTGCTGTTAATGTGTCCCCCCTTTTCTACTCTCACACCGCAACGCCGCAGGCATCGCTTCATGTCTTCCTGGTGGGACCGACGATAAAGCCCATATCGCCAAGCAACATGAAGCCGCCGGCTTGGTACTTTGTCGTCCTCTCCGCGTCGTCGATCATGTGGCTCATCGCCTTCCCGCTTATGTTCGTGGTTCGCAGCGACGCGGAACAGTATGTGGTGCTGGACCTTCGAAAGCGCGCCGCCATTGGACACATCGCCGGCCTGGGCCTGGACACCATCCAGGCGTTGGAGAATATCACAATGGCCTGCGCCTGCTTCGGTGTTTCTGCTTTGTGAGTTTTTGCCCTCAACTTGCTTCTCGTCCTCGTCCTTCGTCCTGGACAAAGTACAATGGTGTCTGGTGATTTCATCTCATGGGATGGAAAGTCGACTCTCGCTAACTGCATGTGGCCACCAGTATATTATGTCTGGCACAATGGTATTATGTGTTCAAGATCGTCAGGGGTTCCTTCAAAACAGAAGAAATGAGGGAAGCTTTTGAAAAAGTGATGAAAAAAAGATGAGAAACAACCAACAGGGAGTTCTGGGGGAGAGGAGCGAGAGGCCGGATGGATAGTAGAAGAATCATTTGATGCCATCCTCGTATCCCTTTCTGGAGCAATGCATAAACTTTCATTACCATTCCCAGTTTATATTCTTCAACAGCGTTCCCCTGCTTTTCTTTTCTTTTCTTTTCTTTTCTTTTCTTTTCTTTTCTTTTCTTTTCTTTTCTTTTCTTTTCTTTTCTTGTCTTGAACCTGACTCGGCTGTCCACTGCTTCTTGCTTTTCTCGATAGATGTTGCGGTGTTGAGACATTGATATAATTCGAGGCGAAGCGCCGTGAGGGTCACCACTGGATCGGAGTCCATTCGGTACGTGTATCTCCAGCAAATTCATCGAGGAGATTGCTTCAATGTTGTCTTGAGAGACACGGTGTCAGTGGTTGGCCGTGAATCAGCGGTGCCGGTGCTGAAGACGTCGTTGGATAAGTCCATGTCGTCAGAATTGGATGTGAGAAAACCAATATGCGAGAGACGATGATCCAGTGGTAATAGATACGAAGAATGCTGGATTATTGTATCGGAAGGATGAGTCTCGGGATGATTTCCTGGTTCTCTTTCGTGTGTATTGCCCACAGGCCCGTCGGGCGTCCGCGAGCTCGTCTCTCTGCTGGGATGCGCCTAACGTCGGGGCTTCTTCCGTGAATGCAGGCATGGATCCACTCTCTTCCTCTGTATACTCTGCCACCCCCGCGACTTGCTTCGGACTTGTGTTGATTTGGAGGCCTTGGCTTGTAACCTTGTTTGGCCTTCCGTTCGTCGCATGCGGTGGCCTACCCAGCCGTCGAGGGTCCGCTGAATACAGGAAGCATGGGAGGTCAGACATCGGTCGCAGTCCCCATCAGGCTGCCTTTGGCGGGTGCAGCGCAACATCTGCGCGTGGCATCTCGTGCACGCAAGTTGTCGAAGTGGTTTGGTGTCAGGGGAGAAGTGAAGAAAGTCGTTGAAGCTGGACTCTCTGCGCCCAAGGGCACTGGGATCTTCATATTGCGATGCATCACGTGATATTGGATACCTCGCTTCCAGATTTGAGATTGAGATCCGACTCGTGAAAGACAGAAATCCCATCGTCAAGGAGATGACGAGACGAAAATCCTGCCCATAAACAGAATTGAATTATAAAGAAATTGGCAAGTAGGCTAGGTAACGTGGCAACATGCCCTTTCGCCGCCTCCGTGGAACCCCCCGCCTTACACCACTTACACCAGAATGATGAGCTGAAGCGACTTGATATTTAGATTTGATCTATTCGCAATTGTTTGTTTTTTTCTTTTTCCTTTTAAAGAAAAGAAGAAGAAAAAAGAAGAAAAAACCACACTTTATGCGCCATCCACCCCCGGAACATGCGCAGAAACCTCAACTTCCAACCTCGTATCCGGCGACGCCAAACTCGCAACCTTGACCCCCGTCAAGATGGGCTTGTGATCCGGCACCGCCTCGCGCAGGTGCTTGAGGAAGACCCCGATGAACTCGTCGCTGAGGTCGGTGACGTAGAGCCTGACCTTGTACACCTGTGACCAGCCCTTGCCGCCCGCCCACCGGAGGTTGAGGTCCACGTTCTTGAATGCGTTGGCCACTTCCTCCTCTGGGTCCTCTGGGACTTTGCCTGTCTTGGCGTCCCAGCCGCCTTTCGTAGTCGCTTTGTTAGAATCATTGTACATGTACAAAAATAGGGGATGAGTGAGACAAGCTAAGATGAATGGGGAGGGGGGGTAGAGGAAGGGAGAGGAAAACGTACACTGTCCGGCGCATTCGATCCGGTCTCCCACCCGCACGGCTTGGCTGTAGTGCATGGCCTCTTGAAGATGGACACCGTGGTCGGGGTAGGCAAAGTATGTAAGATGCGACATTCTTGACCGGTAGTGTGTGGGGCACTATGGGGTTGTCGACTGTCGTAGGCTGTGAGGTTGATGATTTCTGGAGAAGTTGGTGTAAGAGGATGACGGTGTAAGTGGAGTGGACGCTTAGCCTCAGAGGTGCGTTGAGGACGGAAGAGACAGACTTGTAATTGTCAAACTGACAAGTCGGAAAGAAATGACGAGACGAGGAGACCATCCATTTATACCTGACCGTCTCCTCCCTCTCAGGGGCAGTATCTCCTCTCTCCCCTTGCCCCTGGGGCCTTTTCGCGCCCCCATCGCCAAGGCTCACATAGCTATCACGGTATCACCGAAGCCACCATTATCCTATTTAGGAAAATGCTACTTCTCCACTAACGGCATAACATCAGTCCGCCAACGTCAAAATGAAACTCTGTCGAGGATCGCTGGCAGATCTAGCGAACGGCGGGACACTAAAGGACCGAGGAAGAATCATTACGATGACTCTAATAGGTCATTTCAATGTGATGAGTCCATATACCACTTTGGTTCAACACATGCATCATAGCATCACGACCTCCCTTCTCCATCCCTGTCGTCAAAGACGAAAACTGTTATTTTCGTTCTCCTAGGATCTAGAAATCCGCAACGCCCCTTGTTGCAAAGCATCTAGTCCGGCCGATCCCTAGAGGCCATCCGTTGAAAGAAAACAAAAAAAAGACCAAAATACCACCAGCCAAGTCATTCCCCTGAGACCTGAGGGGGTATGTAGCAAGGAAGAGAATAACAAAAATAAAGAAGAAAAGGCACTCGCGAAAGAGACCCTTTCCGACAACCCTGAAATCCATCAAGCCCTCTATCAAATAGGCACTCATGGCAAAAGATTGGCCCCCTCCCCCCACCCAACGCCAGTTCCACACATCACCCCCTCGAAACTCGAGCCTCAAGAAAATGAAGAAAGACATCCGCAAGATCCTTCACCTCTCCCTTCACATGATTCTCCTACTCCAAGATCCGAGCCTCCCCGTCCCGTATCACTGCAACCATTCGGATTCCCCGTCATCACCAGAAGCTGCACCATCCGATGTAGTGCTGGCAGAGGTTCTCCAGCTTGGTCGCCTCCGTAATGAGCTTGTTCACCTGGCTGACAATATCCAGTTCCTCGTCGGGCTTGAAATCCCGGCCCGTGAGCTTCTGCGACACGCGATCCAGCACTTCCAGTGCCCGCGCGTTCTGCACTTCCGGGCCCTCCTGCCCGTTGACGCCGTTCGCGAGGCTGCTCGGCACCACCGACGAATTCGCCCTCGCCCGTGTCCTTGACGCGGCACCCGCCAGCCCCGCCGTGTCTCCTCCCATGGCCAGCAGTTCCGAGGGAGGCGCGTCGGCTTCGAGGATCGACGGCCGACGATCGCGAGGGCCCTGCGGTCCTGCGACGACTGGATCGCCCGCCGCTCGGAAGTCGGGACCCGTCGGGCTGGCTGCCTTGGTGTCGGTGAGGCGCCAAGTCAGGAGAGGATCGTGAATGAACTGGGAAACACACATGTCCTGTCAGTTCGAGTTTCGGCTAGAGGCGTTGACAAAAGGGTAACAGAAAAAGAAAGAAAAAAAGAAATAAAGGGCGAAAAGGTCCACGTACCGCCTCTAGGACCGCCATAAGACTGTCCTTGTTGTCGCGCAGCACCCGCATGACATGTTCGCATGTAATCCTGAAACTTCCCTCGATGTTGCTAACCTCCATGGCGTACGTGAGCATGCGTGTCAATCGGAACGGCACCCGCTCCGGGTATTTCTCGCGCTTCATGGCAACCTCGAAACAATCGCCAAAATCAATATGGATGATCTTGCCCGTTATGCGATCCAGCATAAGATTCGACGGGTGCCTGTCGCCGAGTCCGAGGATGTACCCGACCATCGACATCACGCCCAGAGATCGAGTGTAGTTGGTCCGCCTCTCCAGCCAGGCCTCGGAGCTCTTGCTCTTGAGCCACAGGACCCGATAGAGATCCTGGCCCGTCGTGTTGTCCAACGCGTAGCCGAACACTTCCACCTTCTGCATCAGCGTGAGATTGTCGTAGTCGGGAGCCATCTGGAGCATGATGCGATGCTCGATATTAAGGAGGATCTTTCTGCTCTCTCGGTATTCCCTGATAAGGACATGGAGCGTGTCGCTGTTGGGCACCCATCCCAAGAGACCCGAGCTCTGCGACAGCGGGATGGCCGGGAAGCGCTCGATGTTAAGGTGACGCTTGTAGCACTCCGAGTCGCTGGCGAGCAGCGTGTTGCAGAGGCCAAACAGCTGCATCACCCTCTCGTCCTGACGGATGTCTTCGTGGCCCTTCAGCAGGAAGCCATAGCGTACACCGTCGCTACCCATGACGCTGATCTTCCTCGGCCGCTGTTTGCTATTAATAACAGTGAAGGTGCCGTCGAACTCCATGATGCGCACGATCGGTTGGCCGCTGCGGTAGGTGCCCGGGACCGCGAGGTCCAGGTCCTTGGCCGCCAGGAGCTTGGGCGAGCAATACGGCAGCTCCAACGACGTCAGCTGCGGCAGCTGCCGCGAAATCCGCCTGAAAACCTGGTAGTACAGATCCCACGCCTGGTTGAGGTCGTTGACGTCCCGGCTGGTCTCGTACTGGCGGCACCACTCCCGCGCTTCCGTGAGGTCCCTACCAAACGTCTGCGCGAAAGAGATTTCCCGAAGCGTCTCGGGTCCGCGTTCCAGGAGGTCGTGGAGAGGCTCCAGCGTTGCGAACATGCCCTCGATGTTGTGGTCGCCAAAGTACAGCCGCGACGCCTCCTCGAGGCCCTCGTGCCACAGCTCGTGCCACAGCACAGCGACCCTGATAAGCTCGTGGCTGACGACGTCGGCTTGCGCGACGAGATTGGCGCTGTGTTGCCGCATGCTGTCGAGGATCTGCGCCGCAGACCGCGACCGCTGCGCGCTCTGCCAGGACTTCATCGCCACCGTCAACGGGTAGATGAGAGCCTGCGGGTGCGCCCTGCCCACGTCGGCTAAGAGGCTGTGGACCGTCTGCTGCACACGTCGCGTCGGCTGGTTGATGCGCGCAATGAGCTGGGGGATCACCTCCAGCCAGGTATCGACGCTGACCTGCGTGAAACCTTCCGTCACAGCGGCGTTAACACCTGCGCTGGAACCGTGAGCGAACCAAAGCGTCAGCAGGCGGAGCGTGTCCTGCAGGGAGCTGCCCTCCGACAGCGCGATCGACTTGAAGAATCCACGGACGGCCGGGACGACGTGGTCGAGGATCAGCTGCTGTTCCGATACCGGGACGTTGAGCTCGCCGCCCCGGGACGCGGCGGCTTGGACGATCTCGAAGTTGGCCAGCGCCCATGCGTGCCACGCCTTATACCAGCGGGGGTTGAACTTGGTGGCGGAATTGTAGGCGGCAAGGATATCCTTCACGTGGTTGTGATGCCATGTCTCCTTATTCAGGGCAATCAGCCAGTGTCCCTGCCGCAGGTAGCATTTCGCCAACAGGACCGTTTGTTCTTGCAGCGCACGTTGCGTCTGCGGACTCATCACTCCGTTCGTGTCAAAGGGATGGGGGAATCCGTAGTCCCCGCCGCCGTTCATGATGTCCACCCCCTGGGGCACCTGTGCCGAGAGGTGCGCCTTGGTCACCTCGTGTCGGTGGGTCAAATCCTGCGTGAACCTGCGTAGGCTGTAGAGCGTCCGATCCGCCATGGTCGACGTCTTGCGGCCCAGTTGCTGGCTGACATCCCACTGGTACTTGAGAACCGCGTACATGATCTGCGACGGGATGTTCCTAGGCAAACTCGCCGTGAACTGTCCGGGGCGTTCGTTCCAATAAGGAATCATGCTGGTGAGCACCGAGTCGGTGCCGACGAGCAGCTTCAACGACTTCTCGGCGAGGCCCATGCGCCCCGACTTGCGGCAGAGGTTCGCAAACTTGATCCACATCTGCATGTTTTCCGAAGGGCTCATGACGAGTGCTCGTAGCCGCAGCATGCGTTGCCACACCTCGACGTTGCGCTGGCAGCCCATGAGTCGCGTCTCCCATGTGCGGCGCATGGCCGCCCTTTTCTTCTCGTCTGTCTGCTTGTAGAAGATGAGCTCCTCCAGCTCCGCCAGCATCTGCACCCGGACGACCACCGTGTAGGCGCGATTGTACGACTCGCTCACGAGAGCACTAAGCTCGGTATCGAGACCGTCCCGCGTCTGCTGCACGCAGTTCAGCGCTTCCCTAAAGTGATTGCGGTGCAGGGCGAGAATGGCCCCGAAGAAGGAGCGGTCGGTCGAGTGACGCTTCATGGACTGGAGATAGTGATCCATCGACTCCCACTTGCCCAAGCCCCATGCGGCGGCAGTGGCCAGCGGAGCAATGAGGCGCTGCACCTCCGGGGACGAGTTGGACCACGTGTCGCTGGCGAGGTTGGCGAGCGAATCCCACTCGCCCAGCGCGTGCAGGCAGCGCATCTTGCCCATGATGATCTCCACGGGCACGGACTGGTCCTCGCCAAGATCCTGCTCGCGCTTCGTGTAAAAGTCGAGGGCTTCCTCCCAGCGCTCGAGCTTCTCGAACCAGGTTTCCCTCAGCTGAATGCCTTCCTTGTACAGCTGAGCCTTTCGGAGAATGCCGATGGCGGCGTCGGATTGTTGGAGATGGTTGTTGATGCCAATGAGCGCCTCGACGGCGCCGCTGCTCTGGTCCTGCAAGAACTCGAGTTCCTTGTAGTGGAGGGCCTTCGCGTACGCGTGGCAGCGGCCCGCTTGGTGCCCCAGGATGCGTATGTCTATCGGCAAGGCCTTGTCATCGTGTTCCATAAACTCGGCGAGGTTAAGGAGCAAGCCGAGCAGATCGGGCGGCACGTTTTCCGAATTGATGGCGTTCTCGATGTTGCTGATGAGTTCGTCCTGGAACGGGTCGAACAACTCGGACCAACACGACACGAAGGCCGAGTTGAACAGTTCGCGGGCCAGGGGCAGGTACGAGCTGGCGAGCGCCGCACAGGCGCGAAGTGCGTGGTTCGGCGACTCAGCCAGGAGCGTGGTTGAGAACCGGCGCAGCCACTCCTGCCAGTCCTCCTTGGTCGATTTGCCCTTGGTATCCCAGGCCGCCTTGAGGTGGATGGCATTCATCTCGAGCTTCTTGGAAGCCAGTTCGCCAAACATGTTGCTATCGACGTGGTCGACGAAGCGGTCCGCCGACCCGAGGTCCTGGGGGAGGACTTCGCCCTTCTGCAGCTTGCTGGCCAGGAGGTCGTAGTTCTGATGCTGAATCTGGTGCGTGGCGATGACCTTGTTCACGGTGCCCATGAAATGCAGGTAGTCCTTTCCTAACTGGTGAATCAGGGCACAGAGAGTGTCGAGCGCGGCAACGCGCAAGGTGGGATCGCCACTAGCCATCACACGGGTGAGTGGGTGAATGATCTTGGATGCGTAGTCGTTCAGGTTGACCTGGTACGAGATCTTGCCGATGGTCTCGATGGCCGCCTTGCGGAGATGCGTGGGTTGGCCTTGCTTCTCGAACGTGCGAACGATGACGGGGATGATCAGGTGCATGTACTCCTCGCTGCTAGAACCCAAGACGAGCAAGGTGTGGAGGACTCTCTCGGAAGGCACGCGGCGCTGTGACGTGTCTTTCTCGAGGGCTCCCAGCATCAGGGGAAGTAGTCCTGCGAGGTAGATCTTGAAATCGCCTTCCAGCGATCGCGAGATGGCCTCGACCAACGACAAGATGGTAGATTGCAGACCCAGGCCGGCATTCCAGTATTCGCGGCACGTGTCGACGATCTCGGGAAGAAAGTTGCGGATATGTTGGCGGACAATACTGACGAGGGTGGCGAGCTGGCTGAAGTAGGATTCGACCCTCTTGTTGGGTGCGGCGCGAAGGACACCGAGAAAAGCCGGGATGATCCGATCCAGGAATGATACGCACTCCAGGCCAAGGGTGCGGAAGATGTTCATGATGGCTTCGATGACGGCGGGATGGTGAGCCTGGAGAGAGTTATCCTTGAGAATCTGCAGCAAGGCGTTGATGACCACGGTGGGGTAGTATTCTTTGTTGGAGGGCGTCAAGCCCGTCATCATGAGGGAGATGTCGGTCATCTGCGTGGCTTCGGCATGCCTCTGCACCTCCGGCCTGTCTTGTTCGACCTGCTGGTACTTGTAAGGGTCCAAGGCGCCAAGGATGCCGATCAATTTAATCGTCTCGCTGCGCAGAGGACCCCGTTGGTCTTCCGTCCTGATGATGCCCTGGAGAAGCTCCAAGAGCTGGGGGTACTCGAGGTAGGGTTCGATGACGTATCCCGAGTTGCTAGCCAGCTGGCCAAGCGCATGCAGGGCCGCTTCTCGCTTGACGTTCGAGCTCTGGTCCTGGAGGGCGTCGATGATGAGCGGCATCAGGCGGTCCTTGTACGGAAGGACATCTTCGCCTCCGACGGTGGCGAGCTCTCCCATGGCTCTCAGGATGGTGGCAGCAACGGAGGGAGTCGGGTCGCTGGCCTTGGGGAGGAGCACGGACATCATGGGGTCGACGTAGGGTTTGACGAGACCCTGGGCGTTCTGTACCAGGAGGCTTAGGAGCTTCGCGCTCTCCTCCTTGTTACGGGCGACGTCGGAGAACTCGAGCTCGGTCAGGAGCTGAATCAGGGTCTTGCGGAGAGAGGGAATCACGTAAGCCGGGTTATGCTGGGCCAGGCGCCCAATGATGGAAATGGCCACTTCTCGGATGGCAAAGACCTCGTCGTTGAGGGCAAAGAACAAGGTACGAACGTTCTCGGCCTTGGCGAGGTGGCGGTCGAACCGCTCGTCGAGCGCGGCCAGCACGGTCCTTCGAATAGAAGGCTCGGGGTCGGACACGCCGACGGTGAGAAGCCTCTCGATAACGTCGCTGACCACCTGCAAGGCATGATAACTAGTCTGGTTGACGACGGGGTCGCGGACGTAGAGCTGACAGCAAGTGAGGGCAGCGGCTTCCCGAATTTCGGGGTCCTCGTCTTCGACGTACTTGATGGCGACATCGCGCACGAACTCATTAAGCACGTGGTTTGCGAAGTCGAAGCTCCCGAGGGTATTGAGGGCGAGCTTGATCTCGGCCTTGCGGTGCTCGTAGGCGTGGGGGTCCCTGGCGTCTTTGCTGATGACGGGGGCCGCGGTGAGGGTGTTGGGATGGGGCGCACCCAGAGGCTTGAAAGGCTCGCCGCAGAGGACGATGCTCAGCATGTCGAGGAGCCGGGACCGGATGGTCTCCTGGGCCGGGAGAATGTAGAAGGCCATGTCGACGAGGGCCTGGGTCAGTTTCGGGGTGAGGTCGCAGTCGAAGATGGGGTCGAGGAGGGCCTCCATGTATTTGCTCAGGGTCTGGCCGACGGCTACGGCAAGCCTACTAATGCACTCGAAGACGGCGTCGACGGACCCTCGTTTCCGAGCGCTCTGGCTGAGGCCCTCGCGGACGAAGATCATGACATTGTCTAGATACGGGGCAATAGCGCTCTTAACGGATGTGGCAATGTTGCCAATGGCCAGGAAGGCATCGGTTCGCTCTTTTTCCTTCTTGAGCATACCCATGAGGTATATCATGAACTTGTGAAGGTAGCTCTGGTCAAACTCGGCGGGGGAATAGCTGGCCAAGTCGGGAATCAGGAGAACGATGGTCTTCCGGACGGCCGGATCTTTATGCTCCTTGTATCGTAAGACGATCTCGCATGTCTCGGAGTAGTGTTCTTGCATGAACATGCCGCCCTGCTCCAGCAGTTCTTTCAGCATGAGGAGGGAGCCGTGGATGTACTCGATGGAGCCGTTCTGAAGGCCTCGCAGGAGCTCGTTGTATGCTTTCTCCATCCAAGACTTCTTCAGCTCCTGGTCTCGCTCGCGGATGATGCGGAAGCAGGCGGCCACGGTCTCGGCCGAGGTGGCACGAATAAGATACTTGGCGTCGCGCAAACTGCTCCAGATGAGGTCCAGGACAAGACCCACATAACTGTACATAAGAGTCGGGGCCTGCTTGGCCAGCTCGCGGAGGACGAGGGCGGCGCTGTAACGACGTTCTTCAACGCGGTCGTTTTGTAGCCATTCCAGGGCCATCTGGGTTTCGGATTCGACCAGCTCGCTAATAACAGAGCCGCCCGGACGGCACATCTTTCCCAGAGTCACGGCCGCTGCTGGCATGGGGATTGTGTCCTTGCCGCGCAGGATGGCCTTGAGGTTTTGGAGAAAGCGGGCATACTTGGTTGCCTGGTCGGAGGTTTCGATGTCGACGATACTATCGAGGGCATAGACGCCGCCCAGGCGTTCGGCCGAATCGTTTCCATGGGCGATGAGCTGGGTGATGCGATTATTGACCGCCGTGTAGACGGTATTGAAGTGGTCTGGTTGAAGGTCTAAGGAAACGAAAATAGATGAGCAAAACGCCTCAAAGATCAAAGATCGAAGACAGCAGTTGAGAAATGAAGGGGAATGACAAACCTCGATGGCAAACCAAGACCAGCTCACGGAGCTGAAGAGCAGCTCGTCTCCGAGCATCATCAGAGACTCGACTATGTTGTGTGGTTAGTAATTGCTTCGCATGTGGGTGCCTGGAATAGGTCCATAATCAAAGAAAAGCGCGCGCAATTGCAGAACAAACAGAAACAAGGCAGAACAGAAAACATACCTAGAACGAAGGTCACGGGTGATCACATCAAGCCGCTCAAGGGCGATCTGTTGTTGGGTCGCCATTGTCCCCCTCCTCTACTTCCACTTCTAGCGCCCTAAAGCATTCGGATAATCACAGGGGACGCGACATGGATCGCGACAAGTGGGAGGGATACTGTGCGGTTGCTGCTTGAAGTCGTTAACCAGAGTAGGTGATAGATTGATTGTGGGTTGTGGTGGGCGTGATGGAGAAAGTGGGTAAAAGAGAAGGTGAGACGAAGCGATTGACCTAACGGCAAAGAAAAACAGAAGGGTTGTTGCACAAGCACATACTATGGTGAAGAGGTGGTAAAAAAATAAAAGTATGCAGAGTGGAAAGAAGCCACAATGGAAAAGCAGGAAGGTGGGAAGGTGAAGAAGGTGAAGATGGTGGAAGGATAGTTTTCTGTGTAATACGATGCCTCGTCAATGAGGCTGAACTCTACGTTGTTTTGGGGAGACCCAGTGACCAGAGTTATGGTAGCTACGAAGTACTTGTACAGTGGTAGCTTAACCTAACTGGAAATGACGATGTTGGGTTGGGGATAGTGGTGTGGAGACGATGGGGCCTGGGTCTGACGACTTATGCGATCCATTGCGTTATCTTATCTTTTGAACTACTAAGCAGCCTCCCCTACACTATCTCCTATCAATGCTGGAAATGCCGTGTCGCCTGAGGGGTGGGTCACGTAACCTGCCTTTATATAGAAAGCTTTTACCAGCTTCTCCTATAGCCTAGGGTAGCGGCTAGCTTCTTCCTTATATATAGATATCTATACCACGTATACGACGATTATCTTAATTTAGTGGTTAGTATAAGGGTTAACTATATCACTTTAGTTAAGCTTAAGTTATTCTCGTTTTTTTTCTCTAAGATCGTTATTATTATTCGTTTTCTTAAACCAGAATTAATCTACTAATATGCTACTAGCCTTTGCACTCCTTTTTTGATACGATTATAACCGATTATAACCGACTAAAACAGAAATAATACTTTTATTACTATCTCGCGACGCGGCACGATAATAAGGATAAAGATAAATCTCGAAATAGCCGACCACGGAAAAGCGAAAGCGATAAATAAAATCAAGACTCTAAAAATATATCACTAATATAAGAGAAAAACAGAAAAGCTATAATGATAGGAGAAACTGCTATATAATACCCTATAAAAGACCTAGGGTGCCCTATAAGAAAGGCAGGCGGAATTACCGTCCTTATATAGAGCCGAGGTATTAGTCTCTGCTTTATCGTTACTAAGGTAAAAATAAGGATAATATTAAGAAAAGAAAATAACCGTCCCGTAGAAGATAGCACCTATAACAAATCGACTAAAAACCAGAAGTTACTTTTAATGATAAAATTATATCTAGGCCAAAATAGAAGGTATATCCGGTTATATCTACCCTAGGATAGGTAAGACCTAGGAGGACCGGGTTAGACCTAGAATAATAGGAACTAGCGATAACGTTAGTACCTCCTATAATAAAAAAGCTACTTTAAGAATAGAACTTAGTAAGTAGATAAAAGAAACTATAACCTTAGCCAAAACGGCTAGGAAGGTTTAACGGCGGAGATAATAATATAACTATACGGACTCTCTCTTCTATAAAAATATAATAGGATAAAGAATCAGCTCTCCTAAAATTTTCTTCTCTTCCTTTTTAAAAATAAGAAGAGAAAATATATAGAAGATATATAGAAGATATATAGAATATAGAAGATATATAGAATATAGAAGATATAGAAGATATAGAAGATATAGAAGATATATAAGATATATAAGATATATAAGATATATAAGATATATATTAGAATTATCCTTTTTCTGCTATAGAAAGATTAGTACGAGAATACCGAATCCTTATTTTCGTTTTTTATTTTATTTCAATACCCCCCCTACCTAATAGTAACTTATTTAGCACGATTCCGCGTAGCCTTATTATTCCCCCCCCTTACTACTCCTCCGTTATTTCCCCTAGATATCCGTGAAAACGGATAGAATCACTCCCTCTAAAATCCCTTTACTGACTTTACTAACTATACCGTTTCTTATTATAGTAGCGCCGGTGCTATTATTCCCTTAAAAGAAGTCGGTGGTTTTAGTATCTACCTTTTCCCCCGCCTTTAACTCTACCTCCCCTAATACCTAAGATCTCTCTCCTAGTACCTAGCTACTATTAATCGTTTACTCGTAAGGTTTTAGAATAAAGAACCTTAAAGGCGATACCGTTTCTAAGTTCTTAGGCACCGGATACTCCTATCTTAGATCGGAGTTCCTAGGTAATATTAAGGATATAATAGATATATTCGGCGAGCGCCTAAGCGAAAAGGCTAAGGATAGATATAAGCTTAGGATTATACGGATATACTTAGTCAGTAAGGCTAAGGCGTAGTAAAAGATACTGAATACTAAGGACCGTATTTCGTAGAGGGCTATTGAAGAAAAGTTCTAAAGTAAGTTTAAAGACGATAAAACTTAATATAATGGATAGGCCGCTTTTAAGGCTTCTAACTTCGCCAAGAAGGTTAGGGAGACGCTCCTAGATTATATTAAGAGAGTAATTAAACTTAATAATAAAGCGATATTGGCTAAGATTAGATATTTATTTATCTAACTTTTTTACGAATAGATAATAGACGGTAAGGTAGACTCTCGCCTATAGGAGCATGTCGTTAATAGGTCAGCCGTTTCGGGAAAGATAAGGCATGGTATACCGAAGGATATAGTTACTTTTAAAAACGTTAAATATATAATTATTAAGGTAGCCCGAGGTTACCACGATATATCTAACCTAATAGAAAAAGAATATAAAGACTCGCTAAAATCGAAGGACTAAGAATTCTTAAAAGAGTTTAGAGAGATATAAGAGAAAATCCTAAAGGCGTTAGTGTATAAGATTAAGGGCCTCTCCGCGAGACCGGCCGCCGATAAGTTATATAATCCTAACATGTTATCGGCCTTAGCCTTAACTAATAGGCCTCGGAATAACCGCTCTTTTCCTTAGAATATTGATAAGGTTTTCTGCTTTAGATACGGTAGCTAGGGATAGTTTATTAGAGATTATCTAAATAAGGGCTTTAGGGAATAATAGTAATAACGCCGTGACCTCTAGGACGCCCGGAAAGAGGATATACTTACGGCACGGGATACAAAGCTACGAGATAAGAGGTAAACCGACTCCGGACTAATAAAGCCTTAACCGGGGCAGATTCTAGTTTACCTTATCCTTAAGAATATTAATAAGATACACGTTATATCTTCCGTTGAGGAACTAAACTATTACCATCACGCTGCTAGTCTATTATATCATGCTATCTCTCTAAATATTAGTAATATCCTCCCCTTCACTTATACTCGTTATAGCAGCATAGTCTATAATACCGCCTAAGAGAATAAAATAACTACTATATAAAGATATTACGTAGACCTAAGGAAGAAGTACCTAGAATTAGAGGAGTACCTAGAAGTCTAGGATATCCTTTTTAATAAACGATAAAGAGACCCGAATAAGCTAAATTAGAACGCTAATAATACTCGGGCTAAGCCTTTATAGATACCCCCTCTCCCTCTCCCTAGAACCTAAATAATAAGTTACCTTACGCCCTGCCTCCTACTAGGCTGATAGTATAACCGAGATAATAACCTAAGAGATACCCTCCTACTCCTATAGTTATAGATAAAGCGAATAAGCTAGACACTATTTTCTAATTATCCTAAACTCCTTAACCACGTTTACCTACTCCGCTTTGCCTAGATAGGTCAGAGATATCTAGTAGGGAAAAATAAGTTTAGATCTCGGGAAAAGGTACGAAGAACGACTTTAACAATACCTTTCGAGGCCTTAAGCCTATTAAAGGTAGAAAGATAGCGGGGAAAGCACTATTTTCTATAATAGATTTCCTATCTAACTAGCCCGTTACTATATCTATAATATAACTATTTTAGGCCTCCCCACTTATAAAAGCAGAACTATATTATATTATTTAGATAGAGGTCTTTAGGCGAGATGGATAAGGAGAGGTAAATCGCGTTTAAGCAAGGAAGAAGTATAGGAATATTATAACAAAAGCTATATATATAGCCCTTTAGCCTGGTAAAGATAATAAGAATAGCTATAAGAATATCGCTTTTGGAATAAAGGAGGGCATACCTAATACCCTAGGATATATTTTCGTCTATATAAAGAATACTTACTCGGACCTAATTCTCCTTAACTCTAGTTCTATAATAAAAGCGGTGAGTCGTCTATTCGTGCAGAAATACGGCTTTCTAGTATATAGACTAAATACCCCTTATATAGTATAACTTACGGATAATAAAACTCTACCTATTACGGAGTTTTATCTTCTCCGACTAATAGTCGGAGGTATCCTAAGCACTATCTAAGCCTTGATTTTAGGTAAAGCGGATAAATAGGATATACTTCTCAGTAAGTAGTAGTACTATCGGGTATAAGTTATTATCGATTACTCTCCGGAGACTCTTACAGTAAAAGGCTCTAATAAACACTACGAGCTAGTTCCTATCCACTTAGCCCTTAGTACTACTACGTTAAACTAGATATAGTATAGCCACGGAAAGTTAAGAATAGACCCCGGCTAAAATATCCTACGGAAGTACCTCCTAAATCGGGTAACACAGATAGTAAGGATTCTAACGATAAGTAGGATAATAAGATTTTAAGATAATTAGAGGATATATTAGCAGCAGGTCAGGATAAACTTATTAAACGGACTAAGTATTAAATAAAAAGGAAACCAGAGTAAGTGCTATAAACTAAGTTATAATTACTGGAATAAGTTTAAAGATAGCGGTATTACGAGAAGGAACTATAAAAGGAGGTAATATTATTATTCGTGGTGGAAGGATATACGTATAGCAAACTTTATAAGTTGTAAGGACTTTTAGTGGTTACTTAAAGAGCTCTAGAAAAGACTCGAGCCGAACGTCTAGTCCCGATTATCTTCTTTATTATTTATTATAGATTAGAAAGATTTCACTAGAGAATTAAGGATTTAGAAATATAACTATTATTTTTCTAGCTTTACTTTCTTCTAATAAACTTCTTCTTCGTTTATTACCGTTAATTATAGATAAAGATAATATAAGGGGCTATTTCTATAATTTCGCCCGAGTTAGTAATATATAGACAGACGAAATCGGCCGATAATATATGGATGCCCGAACTATAGAATAATCCTATACCGGGACCGGATAATCTACCGAGTATAATTCGCTTTTTAAAC